AACCAAGTATGAAGACGGTGGTGATATCATTAATTTGAGAATTTATGCTTGGAGGGCACTCGACTGATTTGGGTTGTGGACCGTGGAGGATTGCCCCGGTTATGATGATAGTTCTCGTGTGTTATGAAAAAAAGGGGGTTATTATGGACCTTCGAAAGGTTATTAGCCTAGTTCAGTGTGATCAGAATCAGCTTGAGGTCTGTGGATGGATCTAAATGTGAACATGGGCTGTATATCAGGCCAGATCTGTTCATTTCAGTAATGCGCTCCTTTGGACAAGTAGTCGGGGTACTATTTCGTCGTCAGCTATTTCATGAAATGATATATTGCGCCGTATGAGTTGTGAGACGGCTTGATGAATTTCTTATGTGTTGAGGTTCCGCTTAGAGATGATGTTATATGAGCAGTATGGCTCTCGAGATTCAGATCATATATCGCGCCTCAGTTGTGTTTGAGTTTGTAGCCTATGGCACTATATGTCTCCCCAGGGATGGTATTATGCACTTAGCGTGCTTGTGACCGATATTCGAAATTTTGTTATATGAGCATTTTAGCTCGATGTATATCTCCTTATGTGAATTCTATGTGTGGATCGAGTGGCACGCCGCCACGGGTATGTTATTTGGATCGGGTTGCACGCCGCAACAGTGTGATATTGAGTACAGTTTTCTAGATGCTATTTTTTTTGTAAGCCTTGCTTCCTACTCTCTAACGAAAGTTCATAATAGTGCGTGAGTTGAGTAGTTCCTTCTAGAGTTCGTTTTCCTTTTTGTCACGTTCGAGTTCATAGCCTATTGGCACATTGTGGCATCATATGAGACTTTTGATCATGTCCGGTGTGGCTTATTGCCTGAGCAGTTCGTACTGGGTGAGACGAGATCATTGGATTTAGGATCAGTGCAATCTGATTATGTGAAGTATATTAAGGAGCTAAGACCATTATTTGGTTCAGAATGAGGTGATGGTTCTTATCAGGAGTATAGATCCAATGATTTGTTGATTCGGCAGTTGGGTATGCATTTCTACACACCTCTTCCGTCTTGGCGGTATGGTAAGATTTAGAGCAAGACCTATGTAGGCCATGAGGTGCAATGGGAGCATCAGATTCGTGGGATTTCGACCAATTTGATCAGAGAATGTTATTGTGGTCCTGTGAGTAAAGTGGTGCAAGGTGTGAATTCTGCTAAGGTATGTAGTCATGTTTTGGCGCTGCGGGTAGTTATTGATACGGTGAGCGTATGTTGGGACAGGCCTGGCAGAGAATTCTGGATGTAAGAATTGGGCTTTAAGGCTTATTTGCTTAAGTGGAAAAGGATATCTTCAGATTGATCGAGCTAGGGTACCCAGCTGAGTTGTGGTAGCATGGGTAGGTGCTCGAGGTGTTAAATAGTGATTTCGGACAACCCCAACATAGTTCTTAGCACGTTCGAGGATGAACGTATATTTAAGTGGGAGAGGATGTAATGACCCGACCGGTAGTTTTGAGAATTAACGCCCCGATCCCTTATTAACTGCTTTCCCCAAGTTTATTTCTGCTATTTTGATTTGCCGGGATGTTCGGTTTTAAGTTTCGGAGAGTTTTGGGACACTTAATCCCTAAATGAGAGCTTAAGTATTGGAAAGTTGACCATAGTCGGAACAGTATGAAGACGGCCTCGGAATGGAAATCTGATGGTTCCGTTAGATCCGTTAGGTGATTTCGGGGTTAGGAGCGTGATCGGAATGTATTTTGGAGGTCCGTAGCTAATTTAGGCTTGAAATGCCCAAGGTTGAATTTTGGAAGTCTCCAGTTCGAAAGTGAGATTTTGATCCGAGGGTCGGAATGGAATTCCGAGAGTTGCCGTAGTTCCGTTATGTCATTTGGGATGTGCGTGCAAAATTTCAGGTCATTCGGACGAGGTTTGATAGACTTTTTGATCGAAAATGTGTTTTTAGAGTTTTTGAAATCCTTAAGGTTGAATCCGATGAAAAATAGATGTTTTGATGTTGTTTTGAGCGTTCCAAGGGTTGGAACAAGTTTGAATGATGTTATGGGATATGTTCGTAGGTTTGGTTGAGGTCCCGGGGGTCTCGGGTGTGTTTCGGATGCTCAACGGATCATTTTTGGAACTTGTTGAATTGCTGAACTGCTGGTATCTGGTTTCCTTCTCTGCGATCGCATCCTTCCCTCCGCGATTGCGTAGTGCATTCTCTGAGGGGGGCCTAAGTTGTTCTACGCGATCGCATTACTTTACTCGCGATCGCGGAAGTCAGCCTCTTCTTCCTACGCGTTCGCAATTACTCTTCCGCGTTCGCATAGTAGAAATGGGAGCAAGTGGTTCATTGTCCTTTTACTCTTCGCGTTCGCGTGGCTTCGACCGCGAACGCATAAGCTGGCCTTGTCCTCTTCTGCGATCGCAAGCCTTCTATTGCGTTCGCATAGGCCAGTTCGAGGACCCTTCACTTTTCCTCTTCTGTGATCGCATTCTTCATGTCGCGATCGCGTAGGCCATTTCCGGAGCCTTTCACCTTTACTCTCCGCGATCGCAAATGATTTTTTGCAATCGCAATGAACAACATCTGGCCAGAGAATTTAAAACCCAAAATCGAGGGTTTAGACCATAACTCATATTTTGGACTTGGGAGCTCGGGAGATCACGATTTTTGAGGGGATTTTCACCTGGGCGACTTGGGTATGTGATTCTTACTTGGTTTAGACTAATTTCCATGAATATTCACTTAAATTCATCCTTTAATTTCGGAATTTTGGTAGAAATTGGGGGAAAAGTTCTTAGGCCTAGAGATTTAGTTTTGATTGGGTTTTTGTCATCCGATTTGAGGGATTTTTGTATGAATAGACTCGTGTGGGTGTGAGGATTCTGAAAATATAAATTTCACCCCATTCCGAGACGTGGGCCCGAGGGGCGTTTTGGTCATTTTACATAATTTCGCGTATTTGCTTAGAATTTAATTGTAGAATCAGCTTCTTGAAGTATTATTTACATTATGAAATTGAATTGAATAGATTTGGGCCATTTGGAGTTGGATACTCGTGGCAAGAACGTGGTTTCTAGTTGATTTTGAGCCGGTTCGAGGTAAGTGGCTTGTCTAACCTTATGTGAGGGACCTTCCCCTTAGGATATGATGTTTGATAATTGAAATGCCTTGTATGTGAGGTGAAGAGCGCGTACTTGAGCTAATTGTTGAAAAATCCGGTTTTTTTTTATTTAAGTTGAGTTCCTTTCCTTTCTGTTTATTCTACTTGTGACTTTAGCCTGTTGTTAGTTTAGAAAAGCATGTGTAGTTGACTTAATTGCCTTTTGCTTAAACTGCTTTAATTGCATTATGTGAAGCATGTTAGACTAGAATTAACTGTTTACTTGATACGTATTTAGCATTTAATTGAGTATCCTTGTGTTTCTTCTGTGTGTTTTAATTTGGGACTACAGGACGGCTTCCCGGGAGATCCCCTGTACGTATTTATGATCTGGACTGAGGTGCGGGATACCAAGAGATCCCTGGCACGTATATTGAGGATACCAAGAGATCCTCGGGATACCAAGAGATCCCCATCATACATTGAGGATACCAAGAGATCCTCGAGATACCAAGAGATCCCTGGCATATTGAGGATACCAATAAATCCTCGGGATACCAAGAGATCCCTATCATACATTGAGGATACCAAGAGATCCTCGGGATACTAAGAGATCTATGGCATATATTAAGGATACCAAGAGATCCTCGGGATACCAAGAGATCCCTAGTGTGTATATATTGAGGATACCAAGAGATCCTCGGGATACCAAGAGATCCCCGATATATATTGAGGATACCAAGAGATCCTCGGGATACCAAGAGATCCCTAGTGTATATATATTGAGGATACCAAGAGATCCTCGGGATACCAAGAGATCCCTGTTTATTATCCCTGTTGTGAGTGGTGTTACCTGGTGATTTGTCTTTAAATTCTGTTTCCGTTATTGTACTCTTATTATCATGTATAGACTCTTACTGTAGATTCTCAATTATATTGTTTATCTTAACCTGTCACTATTATTATTATTTACCTCAGTAGGGCCCTGACTTTCCTCGTCACTACCCGACCGAGGTTAGGCTTGGCTCTTACTGAGTACCGCTGTGGTGTACTCATGCCTCTTCCGCGCATGTTTTTCATGTGCAGATCCAGGTACTTCTTCTCAGGCTTATCATCCTTGAGGGAGGCGACTACTTAGAGACTTCGAGGTACATCTGCCGCGTCCGCAGACCGAGGAGTCCCTTTCCATTCCTGCTTTTAGTATTTTAGCCCTTCTGTGCCTTCTGTTCTTATCAGACAAAACTTCCGGAGTTAGAGCTATGTAGTATTTCTCTGTCTTAGCTTCTGATTCGTGGGTTTTCGGGTCTTGGATGGGATATTGGTTTTGAGACTTATATATATATGGTGTATGCCGAGTGGCACATTTAACACTATTATTGCTTTATTTCTGTTCTTAAATCGTTTTATTTTCTGCAAGTTTGGTTATCTTCCGCAATTTAGGCTTACCTAGTCGTAGAGACTAGGTGTCGTCACGATGGTTCACGGAGGGCGAACCGGGATCGTGACACTAATCTAGAGATAAAAGTTATTGATGCATTAAGAAAAATAATTATCCAGTGATAATACCACCTTAGAATGTAACAATTAAATAGATACAATAAGCAAAATATAAGTAAAAAATAGCACAACAAATCAACTCAAACACCAATATTCAAATTTTTGAATTAAAAAAATAACAAAACCTTAGAAGTTCTTAAATAACACTTGCAAGAAAAATATTCTATTAGTTTCACCCATTCTATTCAGAATCACATTCATTTTCAATGTCATTTCCTCCCTCAACATTAGCTTCACCATCATTTTCAATATCAATTACTATCCCATCGACACCACTTCTTACCCAATCATTGTACTCATCTTCCATAACACGAGCATTTTCTAAAAGAGCCAAGTCAGTGGCATCACTTTTCATTGATGACTCAAACTACACACTATTTTCCTCTCCCATATTAAAAATATCTCGAGGTTTAATTAACCTAGGGACAAACCATTCATGATCTTCAGGATCTTGTACAAATATAAGTTGTTGAGCTTGTTCTGCAAAAATAAAGGGCTCATGACGTTCTCGATCGCCAGAGTCTGTTAGGCGTGAGAAATTCACAAGTGTGAACCCCAAGTCATCTTCCTTAACTCCTCTACCTTTGGTTACATCAACCCAATCACACTTAAATAAGACGACTTTAAATTCTTCGTAGTAATTTAACTCCACAATATCATTCAATCTGCCATAATATGTGATATTTGCAGACTTTGGAGCATTGTCACTTGTACTTGCATAACTTTCAGTCTTTGAAACGACCATAACACCACTATTTTGTGTCACCTTAAATTCTTCACTTTGTTTCATTCGGAATCGATACCTGTTATTTACATCGAACGCACTGAATCTTTTTGCAATGTAACTCAGCCCTTGTGCAAGGACTTTAACATCCTTTAAGATGTTAGATGTGGCTTCCAACTCCTTTGCCTAACCACATAAAAGATACAACTATAAATATGGATATATGTACAAGGAAAATAATTTAACGTAACCATCGACTTAGTCCTACTACTTACTTTCTCCTTGAACCACTCATGAAATGTATCGAAATGCACACGGTCAAGTTGATGTTGTGTCAAACGACGCTTACGATGTGATCTCTTGATTTCAGCAATATGTTCCCTATTCATGTAACTCGAATATATCAATTTTGTTATCAAATAAGTAATATACATATATTAAATAATATATATAACACTTACTTTTTATAATTCTCAACCACCTCTGACTCGCAATTGAAAAGCACATGCCGATGTGCTTGCAACCTTGTTTTCTCATCCAACTCAAATACATCTACTCCACCGTACGACTCCCCACTATTTGGAAAGAGACATTCTTCTTTACTAGTCTCATGCCCAATCTCATTGCCGCATTTTCTTGAACAAAAAGACCTTGAATCTCCACCCTCCAAATATCTTAAGCAAAATGCCATACACTCATTTGCTATGTATGCTTCTGCTATCGAACCTTCTGCACATGCACGATTACGAACATATGATTTTAAAGTACCCAAATACCTATGGAATAAAATAATGGTATTAGTTTGATATTATAATATTTAATAACTAAATATATATAATTAAGTTTCAGTGATATTCTTCATACCTCTCAATTGGGTACATCCAGCGACAATTTACCGGCCCCGCATGTTTAGCCTCAGTTGCCAAGTGAATTACCAAGTGTATCATAACAGTAAAGAATCCTGGGAGGAAAAGTTTCTCTATAGTAGACAAAGTTTCTGGAATTTTTTCTTCAAGTAACTTTAACTCTTCTACTTTTAGTTCTTTGCTACACAGAACACGAAAGAATGTGCATAGTTCAATTAAAATGGAACTAACTCTTTTATCTGCTGATCTCCGCAAGGCGAGGGGAAGAAGTTCTTGCATTATAACATGACAATCATGAGTTTATAACCCAGATATCTTTCGTTTGCGAATGCAGCGTGAGATATTAGACGCATAGCCATCTGGAAACTTGGCATTTTGTAGTACTTCATAAAACAATTCTTTTTCTTTTTGAGACATTGTGCAAAAAGTAGGAGGAAGATATGCTTTCCCACTAGCTCGATATTGAGGCCATAAACTTGGTCTTATTTTCATCTCCTTCAAGTCCAATCGAGCTTCTAAGTTATCTTTAGACTTTTTACCAAGATCCAATAATGTATAAATTAAGTTATCACACACATTCTTTTCTATGTGCATCACATCAAGATTATAGCGCACCAAGTTAGACTTCCAATAAGGAAGATCGAAAAAAATACTCCTCTTTCTCCATGTGTTTTCATCACTCCACTTACCCCTTCACTCTCCTGGCCGAGAGTAAATTTTATATCTTTAACTTGATTCAACACTAGTGCCCCAGATACTGGACAAGGTGCAGGTCTTGTTTCTTTAGTACCATCAAACGATTTTGCATCATTCCGATATTTGTGTCCCGACTTCAAGAAGCGCCGATGCCCCATGTAACAAAACTTTCTGCCGTGTGTGAGCCTTCTAGATTGAGTGTTTATGTTACAAGAAGGGCATGCAAACCGTCCATAAGTGCACCATCTAGAGAGAGTACCATATGCTGAAAAATCATTTATAGTCCACATGAGAGCTGCTCGCATTTGAAATATCTCCTTAGCAGAGGCATCACATGTTTCTATCCCATTATCCCCATAATTCATTTTAANTGACTCGAAAGGAACTGATAATTGTGAATAAAGTAAATGATTAATTTGAATCTCAGCGAGAATATGATTTATATGCCTAGTTGTAAACCGTTGCCTGTTATAGATTTTTATTGTTAATTTAAACTTATGATATTATTTGGCCCTAGTGAATGTCAAGTCGACCTCTCGTCTCTACTCCTTCAAGGTTAGGCGGGATAGTCACTGGGTACATATTGTTTATGTACTCATGCTACGCTTCTGTACTTAAATGTACAGGGTCTGAGGCAGGTGGATCCGGTTATTTCTCTGGTGCGCAGTTGTGAGCAGGCTTGGGACTTCTACGGTGAGCTGCTTTTCCTTCCATGTCGATCCGCAGCCGAAGAAGTCTCTCTTTGTAGTGTTATTTCTGTCTATTCTGATCCAGACAGTAGGGTAGTGTAGTATTCTTTTGGTTGTATATTCTACTAGCTGCCCGTAGCTTGTGACACCAGGTTCTGGCACACACACGTTAGTAGACATTTATTTTTGGGTTGTATAACTATTTTGATACCTTATTTACCACTCTTGGCCTTAACTTAACTTTGAAAATCTGTTATTATTAGTTTTTGGTAAAAGTAAAATGAGGACTTAAATTACACTTGGCTGGCCTGACAATAGTGTCGGGCGTTATCATGACCTATTATGGAAAATGGGTCGTGACAACATGGTATCAGAGCACTAGGTTCATGTAGGTCTCACGAGTTATGGGCAAACCTGATAGAGTCTTGTTGATCGGTAGGGAGACGTCTGTATTTATCTTCGAGAGGCTATAGGGTATTAGGAAAGACTACTCTTTATTCATTTCCCGTCGTGCAGTGCTGAAAGTACTAAATTTCCCTCTTCTATTCTCTCACAGATGGTGAGGACTCGTAATGCCGACGTTCCGGACCCGGGAGGAGCTGCTCCCCCCGTTTCTAGAGGCCGAGGTAGAGGCCGGGGGAGGGCACCGGCCCGTGGTGGGGGCTAGGGCATCCCAGAGCCGTTCCAGATGCACCACCAGCAGATCCTATTATTGAGGAGCAGGGCGAGGTGCCCGCAGCTGAGCCTACCCCGGCGGATTTCATGACATCACCGGGATTTCAGGAGGTCATGGGTCGCATACTACTGTTCATGGACACTATGACTCAGGCTGGTTTATTTCCAGCAGACCCAGCTACTTCTCAGGCAGGAGGGGGAGCCCAGACCCCTACTGCTCAGGCACCAGGCCACGCAGCTGCAGTATATCAGACTCCGGGTGCACTACCCGCAGATGGGGTTCAGCCAGTTGCTGCAGCGGCACCCCAGCCCAGGCCAGCTATGGATGGTGACCCACAGAAGCTGTTAGACAGATGGACCAGGCTTCACCCTCCAGTCTTCGGGGGTGAGCGTCATGAGGATGCTCAGGACTTCATTGACCGGTGCAGGGACAGACTGCACAACATGAGGATATTGGAGTCGCATGGTGTTGACTTCACTACTTTCCAGCTGGAGGGCAGGGCCCGTAGATGGTGGCAGTCCTATATTCTTGGCAGGCCAGCGGGCTCTCCTCCCATCACTTGGGGTGAGTTCGTGCAGTTATTCTTGGATAGATATATTCCGACCTCTGAGAGGGAGGAGCTGCGGTACCAGTTTGAGCAGCTCGAGCAGGGACAGATGTCTGTGATCGACTACGAGGCGAAGTTCTCTGAGTTGTCCCGCCATGCACTCATGATACTTCCTACAGATGCAGAGAGGGTGCGGAGGTTTGTCGCAGGGTTGCAGCCCGGGATTCGGTTCAGTATGGCTCGAGAGGTAGAGATGGGCACAGGGTATCAGCTAGTAGTTGAGATTGCTCGTCGGATTGAGGGGTATCGCCAGAGGGGTAGAGAGCAGATACAGCAGGATAAGAGAGCTAGGTTCTCCGGCGAGTTCAGAGGTGCCCCAGCTAGGGGCAGAGGTCAGTTTGGGAGGGGCCAGTCTAGTAGGCCACCCGTTTCAGCACCACCACCTGCCCGGGGGCCTCCAGCACGCCCCTATTTCAGTGCTATGCCAGAGAGTTCCTACCGTCCGCCAGCTATTCAGGGTTCCTCCAGTGGGCATTCAGGCCCCCATGGTCCCCCTGACCCTTATTTCAGTGCCATGCCGGAGAGTTCAGGTCGTCCTCCAACCATCCAGGGTTCTTCTAGTGGGTATTCAGGTCAGCAGGCTCAGACTCCGGGGCAGCAGGCTATGGTGCCTAGGGCGTGCTACGAGTGTGGAGATCCGGGACATCTGAGGAGGACTTGCCCCAGGCTTAGGGGTAAGGCAGTACAGCAGGGCCAGCAGCCCCAGACTCCGGCGCCAGCCGCTCAGCCACCTAGAGGTGGAGGGCAGACAGGTAGAGGTCGTCCTAGAGGTGGAGGTCAGACAGGGAGAGGTCAGCCAGTCACTCCCCAGTCAGGTGGGGGCCATCCATCAGGTGCCCCAGCCAGATTCTATGCTCTTCCAGCCAGGCCGGATGCATTGGCCTCAGATGCCGTCATCACAGGTATTATTTCCGTTGGTGGCAGAGATGCTTCGGTATTATTTGATCCAGGGTCTACTTATTCATATGTATCGTCTCTGTTCGCTCGCTTTCTGGTTGTTTCTCCTGAGCCCTTGGGTATTCCTGTTCATGTGTCCACTCCTGTGGGTGATTCTGTAGTTGTGGATCGGGTCTACCGGTCCTGTGTGGTCACTTTCTGTGGTCTCGAGACTAGAGCGGATCTTCTGTTGCTGGACATGATCGATTTCGAGGTCATCTTGGGCATGGATTGGCTATCTCCGTAGCACGCCGTCCTGGATTGCCATGCCAAGACTGTTTCACTAGTGATGCCAGAGTCGCCAAGATTGGGGTGGAAGGGTTCCACAGCTGACATGCCTAGCAGGGTTATTTCTTTCCTGAAGGCTCAGCGCATGGTTGGGAAGGGATGTTTGGCCTACTTAGCTTATGTTCGAGACACCACTGCAGCGTCTCCGACGATTGATTCAGTGCCAGTAGTACGAGAGTTTGCCGATGTGTTTCCTTCTGATCTCCCGGCATGCCTCCGGATCGTGATATTGATTTTTGCATTGATTTAGCCCCAGGCACTCAGCCTATATCCATTCCACCGTATCGTATGGCCCCTAAGGAGTTAAAGGAATTGAAGGAGCAGCTAGAGGAGTTGTTAGCAAAGGGGTTTATCAGGTCCAGTGTGTCGCCTTGGGGCGCACCAGTGCTATTTGTGAAGAAGAAGGATGGGACCATGCGGATGTGCATTGATTACCGCCAGTTGAACAAGGTCACCATCAAGAACAAGTACCCGTAGCCTCGTATTGATGATTTGTTCGATCAGCTGCATGGTGCCAGGGTGTTCTCTAAGATTGACCTGAGGTCAGGATATCATCAGCTGAAGATTCGGGATTCAGATATTCCGAAGACTGCGTTCCGGACTAGATATGGCCATTATGAGTTTCTAGTGATGTCCTTTGGCTTGACCAATGCGCCAGCAGCATTTATGGATCTGATGAACAGGGTATTCAGGCCTTATATTGATTCTTGTGTCATCGTCTTCATTGACGACATCTTGATATACTCGCGTAGCCTGGGAGAGCACGAGCAGCATTTGAGAGTAGTGCTTCAGACCTTGCGAGAGCAGCAGCTGTATGCTAAGTTCTCTAAGTGTGAGTTTTGGCTCGATTCAGTGGCATTCTTGGGGCATAGTGTCCGGAGAGGGTATTAAGGTAGATCCTAAGAAGATTGAGGCAGTTCAGAGTTGGCCACGTCCCATTCCAGTGACCGAGATCAGGAGTTTTCTGGGGTTAGCAGGTTATTACCGGCGATTCGTGCAGGGCTTTTCATCCATTGCATCACCCTTGACTAGACTGATTCAGAAGGGTGCCCCGTTCGTTTGGTCCGATGATTGCGAGGAGAGCTTCCAGAAGCTCAAGGCAGCTTTGACTACGGCACCAGTTCTTGTATTGCCTTCCGGTACGGGGATGTATACGGTGTATTGCGACGCTTCACGTGTTGGTCTGGGATGTGTGCTGATGCAGGAGGGGAGAGTTATTGCCTATGCCTCGCGTCAGCTAAAGATTCATGAGAAAAATTACCCGGTGCACGATCTGGAGTTGGCAGCGATTGTTCATGCTCTTAAGATATGGAGGCACTATTTGTATAGGGTGCCTTGTGAGGTTTACACCGATCACCGCAGCCTACAACATTTGTTCAAGCAGAGGGATCTCAATTTGAGGCAGCGCAGGTGGCTTGAGTTGCTGAAGGATTACGACATCACCATTCTTTATCATCCAGGCAAGGCGAATGTGGTCGCGGATGCCCTGAGCAGGAAGGCGGAGAGCATGGGTAGCCTAGCATTCATTCCAGCAGAGGAGAGGCCACTGGCTTTGGACATCCAGTCCTTAGCTAATAGACTTGTGAGGTTGGCAGCCGAGTTCTAGCATGTGTGGTCGCCCAGTCTTCGTTATTGGGGGAGATCAAGGCCCGGCAGTATGATGATCCACATCTAGCAGTCCTCAGTGAGACGGTAATTCAGGGGGGTGCCAAGGAGGTTTCTATTGGCAAGGATGGTGTACTGCGGCTCTAGGGACGTCTATGTGTTCCTAATGTTGATGGTCTCAGGGAGCGGATTCTGGAGGAGGCCTACAGTTCGAGGTATTCTATTCATCCGGGAGTCACGAAGATGCATCGTGACTTGAGGCAGCTGGTGGCGGGGGATGAAGAAGGACATAGTGAAGTATGTGACTAAGTGTTTGAATTGCCAGCAGGTCAAGTATGAACATCAGAGACCAGGCGGCCTACTTCAGCGGATGCCTATACCAGCGTGGAAATGGGAGCGCATTACCATGGATTTTGTAGTTGGGTTGCCGCGGACTTTGCGGAAGCTTAATTCAGTGTGGGTCATCGTGGATAGATTGACCAAGTCGGCTCATTTCATCCCCGTGGCGACTACTTATATAGCGGAGAGGTATGCTCAGATCTATATTCGGGAGATAGTCTGGTT